TATAAAATATCTTCATGGAACATGATCTTTACTTAATATCCGAATGTTTTTGGCATAAAAGAAAAATTGATCATTTTGACCCATACAATGTATTGTTGGCTATTGCTACAAATATACCCCAGCGACTTAAGACTGCTTTTGTGCTCCAGGGTCACATTTCAAACCTGTATGCTGTTATATTTTCATAGTGACCATAGGAGGTCAAGCTCAAAAAAGGATGGAAAAGTATTACAAAAGTCCTATGAGGAACAGACCCTAATTTAAGTCATTTAATTTAAGTCATTATTTATTGATAATTTTTTCCTTCCTGGCTATATTTATATACTGAGATACAGTGCACTGGTTGTATGGGCGACTTTTATGCACTTTACGGTGTTTTTGCCCTTTTGTACTTTTTAAAGCTTATATCCCATAGAAAGAACTGTAAAATAAAAATAAATAATGAAACTTAAAATTTAAATAAAATGTATTTTATTAAATAAACATTTAATAAATTTTACTACATACAATAATATTAATAACTGTGTTCTGCAAAAAAAAAAAAAGCATTTAGATTTGAAATAATACAATATTTATGCAAATAATGTCATTTAATTACATTTTGCTTTAAAAACAAAACAAAAGTCTACAATTACAGCCAAACTCTTTGTGATTCTGTAAGATGACTTAACTGTACCTTAACTCATCACAGTTAAAATGTACTTTAAAATTTTGAAATCATAATTAATCATATCAGTAAACTATTTCTTAGTTTAATACAGGGCTGCATGATTAATCAAAATAAAAAACTAAATTGCAATATGGCTTACTGTGATGATCAAATCTCAAAGACTGTGATTTAATTAAACAAATATATGAGCTGCATGTTTCAGTCACTGAGTTGTGAAATATAGAGACAGCCATAAATATTAGTATTAAAATTTTACAGTTGTAATGTAAAAATAAAAATATTATTATATTATTTTGCTTAAATACTATTTTTTATTTTACTGTAAAATATCACAATTGTATTGTAATTATACAATAGCAATATTTTTTATTTCGTTTTATTTTGTAATTATTATTATTATTATTTGTGGTTTATTACTATTTTATAGCCAGTCACAACATTCTGGCCTAATAATAAAGGGATTTGGCTGAAAAAAATTTGGGAGTCCCTGTTGTATGTAATTCCAAATCCATAAACAATGAAAACCTTCCCAACTTTTTGCATGAGTGTTTTTCTTTTTGCACAAATTGATCTGGTAGCTACACTGTACTGATGATCTGATAACGTGACGCCTGCAGCACGGTCTGGTGACTCTGATCTGCACTCTCTCTCACCGTTGTGTTTGCGTGTGCTCTCTGGTGACGGGGTCGGTGAGGGCAGGTAGTCCACCTGAGAGGAAGTGGAAGCTGGTTTCTCTGGAATACTCTCTTTGGAGAAGTCTATAATCCAGCCCAGGCTCACTCCAGAGCTCTGATGCTTATACCGGGCCGACTGGAGGACCACCATCCACCGTGCATCACGCCACAGCTCCTCCAGATGCTGAGAGTCAACACATATGAACATGAGTCAATCACCACAACATGTGTGATATTGTGATCTGAACTCTACTTAAGCAATTGCAGAAGAAGCAGTAGATTAGTGTTAATGTTTTAGGTGGGTTTAGGTTTTAATATTTAGATTTGTGTAAGGAAAATGACACTTCAGAGCTGTGTTGGTGTTTTCACGACGCTCAACATGTGTCTTGATTTCTGTCAACTACAAACAGGAAACAACACAACTGCTGCATTTGAAATCATGCATTTCTGGGTAACTTGGTGGTGTCCGTGTGGCTAAATCAGTACTTTTTAATATAAGAATATATTATATTATATTATATTATATAAAATAATTATAAAAATGTAAAATTAAAATTAAATAAAAATTTTATAAAAACATAAAAATTGTTATGTTTCTATATATATATATATATATGTGTGTGTGTGTGTGCGTGCTTTTTTCAATATTTTTACAATTTTGTATTTTTGTAATAAATACTCATTGCAAGATAAAGGCTAGTTTTTATTTTTATGTTTTATTTTTTATCTTATACAGCATTACTTCCAAAGAAAATTTATCTTTTTTTTGTTATTTTATCTAAAAAATAAAGAAATGAATACTTTTATTCAGAAAGGATGCATTAAATCAATCAAAAGTGACAGTAAAATGATATTTGTAGTACATTTTAACTTTATCTTGCTTACTACTAATTACGGCTTCTTAGCAAGTCAATAATTAATAAATGCACATGAAATTTGATTAACTTATTGTATTTTCTGAGAATTGAAGAGAAAGCAGGCATTTCAATATGTCAATCAAATGTCATAGATCAGTGTTTCCCAACCTTTTTTTAGTTACGGCACCCTTTGGAAATTTTAACAAATTTGTGGCACCCTACAAAATTAATTTTGTTACAATATTTGAATTTCTAAATTCGATATGATAATTTGAAAAGTATCGATATTCGGTACAGCAGGGAAGAACTGCAGAATATAATGTCATATCTCTTTAAACTCATTCTTTCCTCACTTTCTCTCTTTCTGCAACTTGTGTGAATGTATGAGTACATGTTTATGTGTTAGATTAGTTTATATGTCTTAGATTTGTCCAATAAAGTCTTATTTATATTGAAAGGAGAAGTATCTTGTGTTTTGTGCTCAAGTTAATGTTAATGTTTTAAACTGCCGATCTTCTTACCGTGCTAATAAATTGTTTTTTTTTTCCACTATACTTTGGATATTGATATGCATTGCAGAGTTGATGTTATACGGCCCGCTCAATGAATCGCTGACCGATTCAGTTAACCAGCCGTAGAACAGTGATTCTGTCACAATGCCTTATAAAAATCCAAATGGATTCCCTTTGAGCTAAATTTACCTGTTTCCCTTACAGTCTTTTACATGGTTCAAAATATATGTTAAATATATCCCTAAAAAGGTGAAGAGGAATCAGCGAGGAAATTGCCCTGGATAAAAAAATTCATTTCTGTCATTGATTTAAATAGGCAGCTTCTCATTTCTGGGAAAGTCTCATTTCTCACGTTTTTATGTATGAAAACGTTTTCCCCCGTTGATCAGGGATACCTCTTGGCCAGAGATCTTGTAATTTGAGGACCTCATTGGAGAAGCTACTTTGAAAATGTTGCTTGCCCACACAGACTACTCATGATTTAAAACCGAACTAAAGAACAGCTGTGCTTTTGAAAAATAAGTTAGCTACAGTATTAACAAAAATTGGCTTACTGCACTGAAGCTATTAAATACGGCATTATGTTTCTACTGGTGTCATGTCAGTAGTAACATTTTAGTGTTTTTTAGATAATTATTTTTTTTATTAAACATTTTTATGACAATTTTACCACATATAACTTTAAATGTACTGTACATAATTTGTCAAAGCTGCATATTCTGACGATTTTGTGTATAATTTCTGCACGTTGCACATTCTGTGTAACTTCATACCTGAAATGACTTGTTGTTGGAGCCAACCACCAAGGGTAATTCCTTGTAATTGCAATGTACGTGGTCAAGAAATGCATTAAACAAACCTACTGTGGCAAACAAAAAGTGAAATAAATGTTTTCAACGTCATAGCTTTTAATTAGTTGTGACCCTGCTATGCTAACAAGACTACGGAATCCAAGAAAGGTGTGAAAAATGAGCAGTACAGTTGTGTATGAGAGCCTAACACGGAAGATATTCCTGTAGACCCATAGTAAGCTTGCTTATCCAAGCTGCTTGTCAATTATGCTAATTTAGGCTGCTAATTGACTCATTAAATCTGAATTCACTTGGATTGGAGGTGCAGTTCCAGTGAATTCACTGCCTTGGACGCCAGTGCCCACCGCACATGGGTTTTGTATATGCCAAGAGACATTCTGATTATTCACAGTTTTCCAGTCCTGTCAGTGACAAACCAGAAATGGAGCATAAGAGTGAAATGGTCACCAAATAAAGCCAATTTTATCGAAAACTGGTCAGAGGGACCGAGTGTCTATATTTCTGAGGTGAAAGCGGCTGACTGATCGTGTATGCAGCAGTAATTGTGTAGCACAAGACAGACGAGTGACATGCTGAGGAGGTGCAGGGCCGTAATAGACGGAGAGGGATCGTGGGTCTAATGATGGTGTGGAATGATTCACAGGAGCACAGCTGGTGAAAGAAAGAGAGGGCTTTTGAGAGATTTTGAGAGAAAAGATGGTGGAAGATGAAAAGATATAAAGCGCTAGACCAGTTGTGGAACAAAAACAATGAATGAGAGAATGAAAGAAACCAAACAAGAACATTTGGAGAGAAAGATGCTGGACACAGTCAATCATTTGAAGCGTGTTAGAGGATAGATAGGGAACACCTTGAAAAGAAACACTGATGGGCTCTTTTCCAAAACTAGTGAGTTGACTTGTGGTCTGACACAGACAGCTGTCTAAAGCGGTGTTTCCCAACCTTTTTTTAGTCGTGGCACCCTTTGGAAATTTTAATAAACTTGTGGCACCCTACAAAATTAATTTTGTCACAATATTTGAATTTCTAACTTCGATATGATACCTTGAAAAGTATAGATATTTGGTACAGCAGGGAAGAACTGCAGAATATAATGTCATATTTTTAATATTATAAATTTTTTTGTCCATCAGTAGGCAATCAGTAGGCTAATTTCTAATGAAGAGACCAATTTATATGACAGATTTTCATGTAGGCTTTTATTCATATGTAAACATTGTTTAATTACCATTATAACTTAAACTATCTCACAAATCTTTGCTGACTCAGTGTTTTTTTAATTTTACTGTGGGGTAATTTTGGTGCAGTAGCGCGAGATATCTTGATTTCAAACTTTGAATTGAATAAAAAATGACAAGTAAGCAGTCAGTAATAAAATAAGAACAAATAAAGAAATTAATAATGATAGCACAAATAAAAAATAACGACAGGCCTACAAATGAAATAAATTGCTTTTTAGTTTTTCAGGTCTAACAGTAGGGCTATTAAGAGATTAAAAAAAATTTTTTTTTTTTTACCAATTATCCAAATAATGTTTAGTCCTAGAAAGCTATTATTATCAGAACACGTGAGCATAACATAGCGGTTAGCAGATCAATGAATGAGAGGGCAGCCTTACCAGAGTTGCCCATATACCACACCATGTTACAACACAGTAGGGCTATTGCAGACAGAAACAATACTGTACTACATCGATGTTTCCTGTCCGCTCGATTTTTGAGTGGACTTTGCTCTTCCGATGAGTGGAGACTGAGCGGAGCGCACACGCATAGAGCGGATAATACACAGAGCGTCACACCACGTGAAAGTGAATCCTGAGCGGTGAACTAATTTTCAGC